TACCTGTGCTCATGATAATTTGAAACACTACCTATACCGACTCACACTCTATCACCCACACAACCTTATTCCAACCCTTTCCATCACACGCACAGACACACACACGTAGAAATGGTCCATGGTGGTTACCCTAGCAAGCCAACTGGAGGTAATTTACCGTAGCTTGGCGGACACATGCCATTTTACTGAACATGGTGCATAGCCCCCTGAGCTTTGTTCCGCTCAGACTTCTCTCCAACAGAGCAAAGAATGAACAAATGAAGAAACTAAAAAGAGGAAAGAAAAGAACAGGTGAACAAAAACTAAGTGAAGAAAAAAGGAGAAAAAACCACAAGATGTCCTCTTCCTCTGCTGTCATAGCACACCAAATATATGTATCTATAGATAGATAGATAGATAGATAGATAGATAGATAGATAGATAGATAGATAGATAGATAGATAGATAGATAGATAGATAGATAGATAGATAGATAAGTACAAGAAGAAAAACTCAGCAGGTTATGCATGCATTTACATTTCTCTCCTATTCTTTCTTTCTTTATTTTTGAACCATTTTCTTTCATTATAATTATGGTGAATGCAAAACTACAGGCAAAGATAGATTACAAAATACTGATTTTAGTACAGTATCTAAACGGGTATTCATTTGCTCTCTATGGTTTGTTTTTTTATAACTACTGCAATCCATCTGTTATCTGCTAGCCTAATATGATGCACATATACTCATACTTCAACACGGTATTCTTTAAGGCATGCTCACAGGATAAGTGCAACATGGACACATTTGAGACTCTGCCTGGAGGCTGAGGGAGTAGGGCATCTGGTCTCCTAGTGATAAGCATGTGTGTGTGTGAAAATGTGTGTATGAAGGCACGTGCATGTGCGTGTGACGCGTGTTGACAAGGTAGCCCAGTCCGGTCAGCATTCATTAGTGATAGAGAGAATCCCCGAATGAGGAGTGCTGTGACAGGCAGGACTCTCGTTAGGGAACTTAACACACACACACACACACAGACACACTCAGTAGGGTCAGGCTGCCTTGTGCACAGAATCAGCCCAACATCAATTAGTTCATGGATGCATGCATTATAGACTGTGTGAGTGTGGCGGCTTTGGCGACAGCTATGTTAATGCCGACCCTGTAGGAAATGAAGATTCAGGGCAGAAAAACATGGGACATCGAGGCCACGTCACACATACATGTAAGACTAATGTGGAGAAGATTGTCTTATTGATACAGTAAATAATACAGTGTTGTTGAGACTGTTAACTGCATTAACGGTGCAGTTATAACATTATATATTTATTTTTTTCTTCAAGATGTTGGGAAAACTGCGGTGGCAAAATAGCCAAGGTTGAAAAATGTAGTGTGTGTTTATATTTGTAGCATAATTAGCAGGTGTCTGCTGAGCGGATATGACTAAGCAGAGATGGATAGAAACGGCAGGTACATCCAAAGACTTGGATCCAGTTTGATCTTGTTTCTTTGTTGATGTTTTGCTCAGTTTTATGCAGATGCTGTTTATCTTCTAGAGAGCATCTCCAGTGAGATAGAACTAGTTCAGGATTGGAAATATTGAGCTCATTAAAAAGAAAAAAAAGATTTGATTATTTTCATAATTTTAGCAGTGAGCAGGTTCAGGTGGGGCCTGTGATGTTTGCAAAACCTTATGTGCTCTGATGAATACAGAGTGTAAACGCTTCACATATGTCCTGATAATTAGCACCATTACTGTCTGTTTACTCATTATATATTAACCAATCAACACATTAGGATAATTAAAGGAAGCAGGTTAGGAAAACAGGGCAATGCTTTGGGCAATCATTATTGTCTATGCTCTTGTCAGACTTTGTAGAGGGAACAGTTTTTTTGTCATTATCTGAACATATGGGAGCATGCAGCCCTGTTGAATTATGAACATAACTTGACTGACACGCAGCCATTGTCTGTGTAGCCACCGTGTGCTTGGAGGAAATGAGAGGGTTAATTAACTGATGGGTGAGATGCTGGTGGAGCATACGGGGTGATGGAATAGCTTTTGAATTATGAAACAGCGGAATGCTGTGGCTGGTGGTGTCCGGCCATATGTCAGTGTATGCCTTCTCTGTCTAGCTGGGGACAGCTGGTCAGATTGCTCATGTTCAACTGAGTTAGGGGCCAATCAATCAAAATGGGGCAGTTTGTTAGGTCGTTTAAGTGGAGGAAAGAATAACACAGAGGAGTCTATTGTGAGTCTATCACTTTAGTGCCATTAGGGATTTGTCAAGAACTGTTAACAGATATGCAATCACACTCCAATGAAATCAGTTGCACCGCTTGGTATTTAGAAAGCTGAATAGGTTTGTAGATTAAAAATAAAAATTGAAGGATTTTTGTAAGTAGAAGGATTAAGTCGATTATAACAGACAGTTTTGAGAAATCAAAATTATTCAAACTTTGACTTTTCTTACTTAAATTAGTTGTTTTGCCACCTATTGTCAGCTGACCAATACATTTTATATACTTTTAAAATGATTTTTTGTAGTAAACTAGAAATCACAAAAAAAACAACAACAGTTTCTTACAGTTAACAATTAGTTTCTTCTGAATGCAAAAGAAAAAAACAGTTTGTAGTTAAGTGCGTCTGTTAAGTTTTTACAGACTTATCAAAGGAAAACTTAAAGTCTCTGCCATTATCCAGAGCTAAAGAATTATGCTCCATAAAAGTAATCTGATTGGATAAAATGCTTGACTACTTTATGCTGGAATGCAAATTGAATTTTCTACAACTTTTCAGACTTCACTAAATTAGGTTTGGCTTGTGTTTTTATCATTAGTTTTAGTGAATTTTCAATTTAAAGGATTTATTTTGACATACAAAAAAGAACAGAACCAATAAAATGCCAGATGACTACACAGGCCTCATCGTCTGTGTGTTTCTGCAGTGTGCATGTGCCTCTGGGTGGCTGTCTGTCCCATTTGCAGGTCTGCGATGAGGCTTTTTGTCATTTCAGATGCTCTGAAGATACGTTATACATATGTTGTGTGATTCTGGTATAAAAAAGGGCCTGTGTGATTCTGGCATTTTCTATAAATTAAAAGGCTTTTGATAACATCAGTTATAAGAAATATCAAAGGCAGAGGATTGTGCCAAAGCAGATATTGCCTTCACAGCATGACATGATGGAAATAGCTGGCTATTGTCTCAGTCTCTGCTGGACAAAAATGATATGGTCACACTGATCAATAGTCTCTGTTACACATGATGTATCTCCCATGGCTGTGGCTGTCTGCTTTGCTCCATCTGTCCCCGGCTGTTGCATATTTCTCCAGCCCCTCTCGCTCCCACTTACAAACTTGATGTGCTTGTTTTTCCGGAGCTGAGTATGAGTTCCCTTGAGAACGGTGAACATTTAGGCACAAAGATGGCCTTTGCTACCTTAGAACTACTCCCCTGATGAAATTGATGTTTGTTTGAAAAGGATGATTGTGTGAAGATTTTATTATCCTTTATGTCATGCACACTTTAAACTTGACATACACACATAATTCTGCAAATTAAATGTAAATGTTGCAGCTTTTCCTATTTAAAACGTGAATTTTGCAGCGCAAAAAAACAAAGAGAGCCACTGAGTTGAGATAAGAGTGAGTGGGCGGTGAGCAAGTGATTGAACAGTGCTGGTCTTTTTAATCTGCTCAGAAAAAAGACGGAGAAACGATGCTTACCAGTCTGTCACTGCTATAACTTATCTCAGAGACCATCCCTGTATTAATTGTTTGTTGCTGATGGACCATGAAATGAACAATTAGGTTGGGACATCAATACATTTCACACTTTGATGCTGATGTGTAATACTAAGTGAAGTGAATCCTAATAAAAGCATCATTATGCAAACATTAAGCACCATTGTATTATTTTACTATTTCTTTTAGACAAGGTCTGCATATAACATTAGTCTTGCATTTTCCAGGCAGATTTGTGTTGTGTATGGATTAATCGGGATATGGTTTGTTGCCATGTGAAATATGGATTTGCACAAATTATTCTGTTCTTGTTGTGTTTAACACACTATCATGGCTTTTTTTTAGCTTAAAAATGTGATTTTAATTCCTTTAGAATCTTTTAAAGCAGATGAGATATTTAGTATGACCTAATGAAGAATATATTAATTTGCAGATCTTAAAAATAATCACAAATTGGACAGAAGTTTTTAACTCCCTAAGCTATTTAATTTAATTGAATTCAATTCAGTCTAATTATACAGCACCAAATCACAACAACAGTTGCCGCAAGCCACTTTCCATTGTAATAAAATAATAAAGAGAAAATCCCAACAATCATATGACCCTGTATGAGCAAATGCTTTGGAGACAGTGGGAAGGAAAAACTCAATTTTATAAGGAAGAAATTGGTTTGCAGAACAAGGCTCATCTCTGTGACCACTTGGGGGTGAGGGGAGGATGACAGGACAAAGACATGCCGTGGAAGAGAGACAGAGATTAATAATAAAAAACTATACAATAAATGTTATCAAAGTGTTTTTATACATTCATAATCCATAATCTTGTAGTTTTATGTGCTTGTAGGTCCTCTCTGTGTGTCTGCAGAATATCATTTACTTACCTAGCAGGCAAATCCACTTAAAATTGGTCTTCTTTGACTTTTTTTTTTAATTTTCTGAAAATATGATTGAGGTACAAGTGTTGGTCATTTAGTCCTCTCTTTCTTTCTCTCATTATTGTTTAAGGAAATGATTTTTGTTATTTTGAAGTTTGTTAAAATGTCCATCCACTATAAATCAGTTAAATGTTTTGAGGAAAATCTGCTTCTTTGCTGGATAAACTTTGTCAGTTGTTGTTTACTTGTTTATTTGTTGTTAGAAAGAAAAAAAAATAAGAAAAAGATCATATTTTGGAATAGTTAGTAAATCTGTGTATTGCGGCCTACATAAAGCATCCTAATGTGTATACGTATGGCAAACCAAGTGAGCAGATTCTCTCTGTGTATCAATTCCCAGGTCTGTATGGTGACAGGAAGACTGAGCTGTGACATATAAACAGCTCGCCACAAGACCGTCTGGGCTCAGCAGGAAGTACCTCCATATCTACTTCCAGGTCATCCTCAGACGTCATGTGGACCAGATGCCTGCTCTTGATCTCAACCTTCTTTTCCCCCATAGCCATTGGTAAGGGACACACTACTCATTGCACTGCCCTAACCAAAAAAGGAGAAAAAAAAACTACATTTAATTTGTTAATTGAAATGTGTTGTATTGCTCAATTATTACTATTGCTACATTAAAGATTTTCAGTCAAATATCTATGTGACTAAAGTCCATTTGGCAAAAGCAAGAAAAACGTTTTGGTCATAAAACAGCTGTTGATTATTTTAAGCTATAGTCTGCGTTTTTAATAACTGTATTGATAAGAGCAATAGGTAATGTTAGTTAATTTTATAACAGTCACAATTGTCTGCTAAAATAAAGGCTTATTGCTGGACTTCTTTCAAAAAACAAATAGCATTTGTTGCAAAGAGCTGTTACTCAGCAGGCACAAAAAGCAAGGATACAAATGAGTCTTGAAACAACACAGATGGGATAAAGGAGGCCGACACACAGCGGATAAACAGACAAACCAACAAAGGGATGCACAAGACTACATACAGCATGGGCTGATTACAAAGCAAGGTGGCAACTGTTCAATTCAAGTTTACTTATAAAGCACCACATGACAGCAAGAGATGGCTCAAGGCACTTTATATTATAAGGTAAAGACCTTGCAGTATTCATGAGAGAACCTTAACAATCAAAGGACCCCATATGAGCAATTAGTTTGCAATGGTGGGAATGAGAAACTCCCTCTTAACTGGAAGAAACCTCCAGCAGAACCGTGCTATAAGCTTATCAAAAATGAACGTGATGAGTAGAGTAGAAAGAGCGTAGGTCTCCCCAATCCAAACTGGGAGTTAGTTTGACAGGAGAGGGACCTGATAGCTGAAGGCTCTGCCTCCCATTCTACTTTTAAAATGTCTAGGAACCAGAAGTAAGCACCGTCTGAGAGTGAAGCACTCTGTTAGGATAATATGATACTATGAGTCTTTAACATATGATGGGGTCTGATTATTCGAGAGTTTGTGTGTGAGGAGAAAGATTTTAAATTCAGTTCTGGATTTAACAGGGAGCAAATGAAGAGATGCTAATACAGAGGAAACGTGGTCTCTCTGTCTATTCCCTGACACCTGATAATAATGAATTAAGATTGTCCAGACTTGAAATAATGAATGCATGAAAAATAGACAAGTAAAGATATATAAAACAAGAGTGAAACTAATCAGGATAGCGCAGACAATCATAAAGGAGTGAAGAGGCAAAGGCACAGGAGACACACAAGAAAAAGCAATTACCAAAATAAGACAGTAAGTGGAAACCAGTAGGACAAATGTGTAAACACATAGACCAGACAGAGATGGGCAAGATGGGGAGACAATGAGGACACCATGAAAATATGAGCATAAGAAAGAATAACAATAAAACCAAAAATAAGAATCAAAACTCAGGGCACCATTTTATTGCACACACAGAAATTTTTCACACGTACAAAATGTTCAGTGCAGATGCAGTCCAGTAGGTCAACTTTATATTTCCTCCTTTCCTACATGACTATAGGTTTAAAAGACTCTGAGAGGGAGCTCTGGGAACTCGGTCCTATTAATAGCTCCTGTCACTCACATTGTGTAACTTTGTAACATGCACTCACGCACAAACACTCATATGTATCCACATTTTAAATAGATGTAGGTCTCTACAGCAAGTGATTCCTGGACCACACACACAAACACACCATCAAGCATGTACTTGCACCAACGTTGCCAGAAATCCCACCTAAACACTAATGGATGCAATTAAAAGGCACACAGGGAGTGCTTATAGTCAGGCATATAAACACCAAGGGCTTGGTTTTGCAGGAAGAGATGAGTTTCAGTTAAATATATTTGCATCGATGTCTAAAGAATGAGTTGATGTATGCAAAGTATGTTCCTTTTGCTTTGTGAGGAAACCTGTACAGCTGAAACAAGGACACCAGCTTGAGGGCACACAACAGCAACCACTCAGTCTTCTCCACAGACCCATATTATTTTAGGATTGTTCAAACAAAAAGACATTTAAACGTGAATCTGGGAATTATTTTGGTTGTTTTTTTTTGTTTGTTTGTTTTTTGGATTTTTTTTTTTTGGCAGGGTTTTACGGGTTTTTTATACGCTCTATTGGGTGGAGGTGACTGACTGAAGAACATCCAGTTTATTTCCTTTAAGGAACTTGTGTGTGAAGCATTTGCACTGTGAAGCTCTGTCTAATCAGTTTTGCAGAATTTGGCTTATTCTGAGCAGAGGGTCTAGGCCTGTACACTTCAGAATTCACCCTGCTACTTCTATAAGCTATCACACTATCAGTAAACAGTAGTGACCCAATTCCACTGGCAGTCATACATGCTCATGCCTAACCCTCCACCATATTTGACAGATGATGCAGTATGCTTCGAATCATTAGCTGCAACATCATCAACATCTGCAAAAAGCAACTGCTGTTGCAACTAGAGACTGAGGTACAACACATTGAGTGACCTACAACACAAAGACGTCAGGTCTGAGGGGGAATGTCATCATCCCCACTCTCCAAGACTGGGCACCAAGTCCTGAAAACAACTGGTAGATTAAATGCAAGGGCAGCTGACCTGAAACAGAAGACCATGGCTAAGCTGGGAACCTATAACTCTATAAGATTAACAACAGCCACAAGGAGCGGTATCTTCCATGGAGAAAAAGACTTGTGGCCAAGATCAAGGCAGAACAAAGGGACGTTAGCCAACTATCTGCAGGAAGGAGTGATGAAGTGTGATGGCTTCTGGTATACCTTTTAAAGCAATTAGCTTGAACAGTTATACCAGAAGCTGGGAGAATAAACCAAGTGTTCTCCACTGAACCATCCAAGTTATACTCTTGTGCTTCACAGGTAAAGGTGTGGCTGGTTGGGATTAGCTGAGTATGAATTATTGGCAGTCCGCGGCAGTGTCATCATTTATGTCATCTCCATTTAGGTAACCAATCTGTGTCTGTCGGTCTTCTGGGTTCACTAGTCACCATCCAAGAAAAATAAACAGCACCAGACTCTGGCATGATCCACACCTACTGGCTCAAGGATTTACTTCATTTTGTGAGCCCCTGGAAGCACAAATTAACCAGTTGCTAATGGATGAGGTGTACCCGGAATGGCTAACCGGAGGCTGAAAAGGCCTGATCGCCATGGAACCCCAGAAGAGTACACTAAGCGGAAAGAAGGAGGCTGAGGACTAGTGAGTGTCAGAAACACTATCCAGGAAAGAAAGAACAAAGATCCATTAGCACATAGACAGATGGCCACAACTGATCATGTGCTTAGTAAATACCTCAGGCAGCAGAAACCCAAGAAAGAAGAGGCATAAGAAGAGGAAGCATCATGGATGGACATGCTACTGCATGCCATGGTCTCACTGGCAGGTAGAAGAAGGGTGTGATATTAAAAAATCCTAAATGGCTAGACAAAGCTGGACTGAAAGACAGCATGGAGGCACTAATTGTGGCAGCACAGACACAAGCTCCAAGCGCAAGATTGATGGAGGCTGGGGTCTACCACACCAGGCAAGATCCCAGGTGCAGGCTGTGCAAAGATGCCCCGAGATAATCCAGCACATAACAGGGTGTGAGATGCTAGCAGGCAGGACATACATGGGACCCCATAACCAAGCGGCTGACATAGTATACAGGAACATCTGTGCCAAATATGGCTGGAGGTTACTGAGGTCAAAATGGGATACACCCCCTGGTGGTTGACAATGATCAAGCTAAGCTATAGATATATATAGATAGATATATGAATATATCTATATATATATTGATAAAACAATGAGGGTACTGCTAGCCTTAACCTTTAGAATATCTTATGCACTTAAAATAAGTTGTTTTCCCTGTAACTCAAAGCACCCCACATTTAAGACATCAGCATTGGCCAAAAGCTTTGGCAATTCAAGTGAGAGATCACCTTTTAAATCTCTCTCCTCTTTCCTTTCACCCATTCCTTCTTTCCATCTATCCACCTCTTTCGCCACTCTCTTGTTCTTGGCCCAAATGTAAAAATCAATATCCTTTTGTTTCAGCCCCCCGAGGCAATAAGAGTGTCTGAATAAGACTGTCCATACTGTCTGTTGCTGCCAAGTTTCTGTCACCACTTACACAACTAATGACAGACACATTAACATGGACTTGCCAGCTCACACATTATTACATGTAGTCAAAGACAGACAGCTAAATATGTGCGCATAGTGTGTGTGTGCGAGTGAATGCATGTGTATCAGGTGACAGAAATATGTGTAGAGGGTCCTTTGGAGATGGGTTAAGCACAGCAGCTTTATAGGTGAGGCAGCTGATATAATAAGATAAATTAAAATGTGACAGACGAGACAGGATGGCATGTACGAGTCAGTTGATTTACTCCTGCTTACAAAAGCAGAGTGGCTTTTAATGGGAATACAGATAGACCCCTCATTTGAATAGTGTGTGTGTGAGTTTGTGTCATAATGCTTGCTTCATACCCAAAGGGGACCCTGTAAGGCAACACTGTAAGACATCTGATCCAATGCTAGTCTAGACAGCTGCCTTACGATGCTGTTTATTGATCCCCGCATGCTCCAATTAACCCTCACTTCAGAATTTATATTCATGCTCACAGAGTCATGATGCAGCCATTGAAAAACTAATAAACTGACACTTACTTTCACACAGTAATGACCCAGTGCACTAAGACCCCCTGCTTACACAGACAAAACTGCATGATGCCCTGTTAAATCCTCAGCTACTTTGGAGACACACATCCTGTCTGAATGTGTGCTTAAGGTCTAATCATAGCCTGCAGTGGTATACATACGTGTGTGTGCATGTGTCTGTTCATTAGAGAAGACATTTTCAGTAAATGCCACTTATATATCAGTCTTATCTCTAAGCTACCTCCTGCCATTATCAATGTTTTTCCCTCAGGTACCAACACCACACTGATATTGGCTGGCTGTGAATTTCCACCTCTACATTCCATCACTCCGAGCATTTGTATGCATGAGTGTGTGCGTGTATGTGTGTGTGTGTGTGTGTGTGTGTGTGTGTGCGTGTGCGTGTGCTTCCGTGCTTGTGTGTCTGTGATGTGGTGAAGGGCAGTATTAAGTTGAGCCCGGGCACAGTGTCATTGAGCTCATTCAGATTCTTTGCTGCATTTGTGTAACCATGACGCTTCTCTAACCAATGAGAGAGCCAAGGGAGGGTGGACGGGGTTACTATGGTTACCATGACAGGGAGCGTTGCCTCACTTTACACAGATGTTGTATGTCTGTGTCTTTTTAATTGCTTTTGTGTCCGTACATTCATGTGTGTATACATGTGCTTGTTTCTCTGCTTTTAAGAAATGATTTGACAGGATATGTTCTTCCAAAAAGAGCGCTGGGTCTGGAAAGCTTCCACATTAGTTTTGTGTAGATTTAATAAATGTTATTAGTTTATTCAAGTGGGAAATGCATAATATGTATATTGCACCCTGTATAGCAAAAATTCTCAGATGGTCTAGATGGGCAGTGCTATATATATGTGTGTGTGTGTGTGTGTGTGTGTGTGTGTGTGTGTGTGTGTGTGTGTGTGTGTGTGTGTGTGTGTGTGTGTGTGTAATAAAATCTGCATTATTATTATGGAAAGGTTAGGTGGATTCAGACATGGGCAATACAATTGAGCACCTCAGAAGAATAATCCATGCGACACAAACACCCAGAACCACACCATTATTGTCACTGCACTTCTATGTAATAGCTTCAGTCACATGGAGGTATGTATAAGGTGTTTTGGCAGGACATGAAAATAAAGAATGAGAGAAAGGGGAGAAAAGTCCAAATGCTTATGAGCAAGGAGAAAACTTTTTTTAAACTATTTGTGTGGCATTGGGGGGCTGGCTGGCGGGGACTAACTGGAATCCACAGGAAGCAAGGATTAAAATAAAAGAAGTGATGGAATCGCGATAACAAGAAGAATCCAAAATCATGACACTGTTAAGAATACTTTTGATGAGAAGAGTTTGCCTTTCTTCTGATTTTTGCTCATTTTGTTTTTAGATGAAAGGGAGTTGTGTGGCACAAAAGCGTCCGCCAGTGAAGTAAAAAAAATATCAGGAATGTTCAGTAACTTCAGACTCATTGAAATTAATGACATGTTCCCTATTACAGTACAGTCGTAGTGGATGTTTGCATCACATTTGCAACTTGTGAGAATAATTAGGCATTGCCATCTTTGAATATTATCTGCAGCACTAAATATCTGTTGAAATTGCCAGGCAATTACTCTCTATCTAGAATGATGTCCAATACTGCTAACTGCAAAGCACTAATTACCAAGTCAGTTCACTCGCGACAGTGGACGTGCCCTTATAAGAAGTCTTTTGTTATGCTATTGTTTTCATATAGTCTGAATAATTACGTCTATATGACAAGGGTACAAATGCAATTTCAGTTGAACACAGCCTATTCTTGAATAATTCAGGCCTTGCAGTCCAAGTAAATTAAAGATGGCTCTACCAAAACGTCTGGAGTATTTCACCAAACAAAGACTTAATATCAATACATATGTCTTTCTGTCCAGTTTATGGCCGTGCCCCCATCCCCATGGCAGTAGTCCGCAGGGAGCTGTCCTGTGAGTCCTACCCCATTGAGTTACGCTGCCCAGGCACAGATGTCATCATGATTGAAAGTGCCAACTACGGCCGCACTGATGACAAGATCTGCGACTCGGACCCCGTCCAGATGGAAAACACGCGGTGCTACCTGCCTGATGCATACAAGATCATGTCACTCAGGTCAGTTTGTATGTACGTGTTTGAGTGAATGTGTGATGTGTCATTTTCTAAGAACTGTAAAACCAAAACTGACAACCACAGTGAACATAATTAATTCTTTGTGTTGCTTTGTTAATTAAGTTTGTCCCATGGTATCCTTTTGGTGCGTGTTGAAGGCTGACTCATGGCACAAAGACAGAGCCAAGACAGAAACAGTCTGAATTGCTTTACTTACTCTAAACCCCAGAGATCCTATCTTTAGTAGGTGTATTGATCCTCATTAAGTACAGTGGTATGAAAAAGTCTTTGCCCCCTTCCTGATTTTCGATTTTTTATATGTTTGTCACACTTAAATGTTTCAGATCATCAGATCAACAAATGTAAATATTACACAAAGATAGGGATGGGTATCGTTTAGGTTTTATCCGATACCGGTGCCAAACCGGTACTTTTGAAACGGTGCCGGTGCTTAAACGGTGCTCAAACCGGTGCTCAAACCGGTGCTTAAAGAATGGAGAACACAAAATTGGTCTGAAAACCTCTCATGTTCAGCTGTTTTTTTTTGTAAAAAGATAACAATGTTAGCCTTTTCTGCAGCTATAGGGCATATATGGTATCACTCTTGGCTGGAAGCAGTGCTTAAACAATGGAAAAAACACAAACTTTGTCTAAAAACCTCTCATGTTTAACTGTTTTCCACTTATTCTTTGGTCATTTTAGCCTTTTTGGCCAGGTTGAAGGGAGTATCTGCCATCAAACAAGAAGGCAGCCGCATGTAACTACGACGGTGTTTGCTAGTTCACCTTACATGCATTAATGTAATAACGTGGTTAGCCTACTCAACGTAAATTACACACGAACAACATTAAGCTACTCACGCAGAGAAGAACGGCTGCTGCTGCTGCATCATCATCCGTCATCATTTCTGCTACACTGGCAGGGCTAGGGGCCAGCACTCTCCTCTTCGGGTTCTTGGGGGATGTTGCTAACTCCAGGTCCGATAACAGGCAACCCACCCGCAGTAGATGTGCTCTATGTGAGGTCTCGCAGCAAGCTATCAAATACGGCGCATTTCTCGGCTTTAAAAAAACCCCGCTATGCGTCGCCAGGTGTTTCATCGGATTTCAGGTGTTACCTCCTTTGACAGTATCACAGTATCAGCTTAAAGCACTTGTTGCAGGCTGCTGAGTTTGCATATTTTGCTGTGAAGTACAGCCAGACTTTTGACCGCTTTGCCTTGGGCATTTTTAATCTGTAGCTCTGCTCTAAAAGAACGTACATACCTGGACCCGCCTACTATCCTCGGAAACGTAAAATGATTGGCTAGAATTCAAAGTGTATGTCATCTCAGGAAAAAAAAGCACCGAAATAAAGCACCAAAATGTGCGCTGCTTTTCGGTCTGGTTACTACCGTTTATGTCAGAACCGGTACCCATCCCTACACAAAGATAACAAAAGTAAACACAAAATGCAGTTTTTAAATCAAGGGCTTTATCATTAGGGGTATGGCCCTGTGTGAAAACTTGATTGCCCCCACCTTGTTAAATCATGAATAAACTCTGATTAACCATGTCTTTTACAACGCTAAGTTTCCCTCCCACTTTAAGGCCTGATTACTGCCTGTAATCACTTAAACAGAACCTGTCTGACAAACTGAAGCAGACTGAGAAATGCAGCACAACATGTCACAATTGAAAGAGATGAGAAACAAAGTCACTGACATCTATCAATCTGGAAAGGGTTACCAAGCAATTTTGAAGGCTTTGGGACTCCAGCAAACCACAGTGAGAGCCATTATCCACAAATGGCGAAAATATGGAACAGTGGTTCCCAGGAGTCGCTGGTCAACCAAAAAGACCCCCAAAGCGCAGCGACGACTCATCCAAGAGGTCACAAAAGGTCAGAGTTTATTATTCAACAATAAGAAAGTTACTGGGAAAAATACCCCCCATTGGAGAGTTCAAGGAGAAAACAGTCACCCAAAGACTTGTCTCACATTTGCCAGAAAAAATCTTAATGATCCCCAAGACATCTTTGAAAATACTCTGTGGACTGAAGAGAGAAACGCGGAACTTTTTTGGGAGGTTTGAGTCCCGTTACATGTGGCATAAAACTAACACAGCATGTCAGAAAAGGAAGTTCGCACCAACAGTAGGGCTCCCACAAACGATTATCTTGATAGTCGACTAGTCACCGATTATTTTTACGATTAGTCGACTAATCAGATCGTGCATCCATTGGACGTAAAATGTACAGCTTATCGCACCAGCCTGCATCTGCTCTTGTATAACTATCATTAGCTTACAGCTTGAAGTGTTTAAGGTATGTGCTAACTAAAAATAAAGCTAAGATGATAGTTTATTAAATTTTAATGAAATTTGCAGATTGTTTCAGTGAAGTTTAATAAACTCCTTGCTATCTAAAATATAACGGGACACCGGAGTATATTCTCGAGTATCTCACACTTCTGATAATCAGTTGTCTGCTTGACGTTTATTCAGCTGTGTAAAAACTATAACTTTAATCTCAGCCAAACCGATTTACTCAGGAACAAATAAAATACTAAAAAAAGCCAAACAATAACATTTTTAAGTTATCTAAGTGACTTATATATGTTTAACCTGAGTAGCGAAAGACGGCGGTGGGTTTGAAAACGATTTGCCGGGAGTCCGGTGTTCTCACGGGCTCTAGTGAGCCTTGTCCCCGGCTAGCTATCGAGCTGGTGGGTAACAGACGTCTCCGAAAACGTCGAAGCGCTTTTGAAAATATGTGGTGTCTTGATAAACTAAGCAGATATTTGAGGTTTACACAGTTACATTCTCGCTTGAAAATATGTTAAACGTTTACTTTGTGACCCAGAAAGAATAATAAGAGTAATATTAAAACTAACTAGCTCCTGCCGTTATTGGAAACTGAGCTGGGCTACGCTATGAATTCTGGGACAGAGCTACTTCTTCTTCGGGGTTTAACGGCAGCTGGCATCCTTGTACATGCAGTGCTGCCATCTTCTGTTTCAGTCCGTTATTACACTCTTAAATCCTACTACTTATTCCTGCGTCTTTTGGGATCTTACAAAGCTTCAAACGACGCGTCGACTATTAAATCAGTCGTCGACGATTTTGATAGTCGACGTAATCGTGACTAGTCGACTAATCGTGGCAGCCCTAACCAACAGTAAAATATGGTGGTGGTAGTGCGGACCTGGAAGATTTGTTGCAGTTAATGGAAGCATGAATTCTGCTTCTACCAAAACATCCTGAAGGAGAATGTCCGGCAATCTGCTGTTGACCTCAAGCTTAAGCGCACTTGGGTTCTGCAGCAGGAAAATGATCCACCACACCATGCTCGAAATCCCCCCTTGTGTTTTTTTTCCCACAATACACTATATATACATCAAGTTCTGAATTAACTATGAATTTACCCACTTTCAAGAAGTTTACACCAAACAACAGAGGCATAAAATGACAGAACTGCTAAACTGTAATGGGGGAAAAGGACAATTGTGACGGATTATTTATAGAAACCAGTGTAGTCTTATCAGACAATGGAAGTGACTCAGGTGACACTTCTCCTGCACATCTCTCTGGTGTGCCTGCCTCCTCCTCTGAGGGTGCTGAAAGGAACACAGCAATCTCAGCGTCTGCTCCATGGAAAATTATCATTGAACAATAGGCTGTAATATATGGATCGTTTAAAAAAAACATTATAATGATATATTATGCCATACAGCATTTTATGTCATAATACATGGAGCTCACAAATTAAGGCTTCAGCAAATTTTCTTTACTTTGTAAATTTTAACAACTGATTTTTTCACTTTTTCTGTGTTTGTGAAAAATACAATATTTTATATTTGGGCTGCAAAATAATAATAATAGATTTTCATATCTCCTTTCCTCACTTGAGTCTATACTTAACACGAGTGAGTGCTGTTTTAGTTAACATCTAACATGTTCAGGTACTTTGCTCTGATTATCCTAACATTTATTTGGTGAGTAGCAGAATAGAAAAGAGAACCCAGCTTGTGATTTATTTTACCGGAAATGGTTTTTAATGCTGTTGTGGTCTCTGCACTTTACATATATTTTGTATTTGGCAGGTAGTTAGTTAAAGCTAGTTGGCAAATGATAGCATGACAAAAATAGCAATAAAGGGAAAGCACCGTGCTCTGTAATGAGAATGTCTGGCTATAAATAATTCATTAATGTCACCATTAGTATCTGGATTTTCCAGGTCCTGTGTTAATCTCACTTTCAGTTCTCTTTCTTGCTGTCCTATTATTTTCTCTCATCTTTTTTCCATCTCAATATTGCTGTCATCTTTCCCCGTCCGTCTCCCTGCTCTGTTTCTCTATCAAACCACCTGTCTGTGTCATGTGGTGGTGCTCTCATTGCGACTGCTTTGGCCTAGCTTGGTCTCTCTTCTCGCTCTGGCAGCTGAAGCTTGTGTGGCCACTTTCCTACAGCCCTTTCCATCCATAATTTATACGGAAGCGCGCTCACACACACATGGCTTCTACCACACACAGCATACACTGCCCAGGGGCTACACCAGACTTTAAGCTCCAATTAGCAGAGCCAGAGGCCATACTTAATCTTGAGGGATTCTCTGTGGAGGTGACTCAGACCGGAAACAACTGTTTATCACATATATTTGTGGTGAACGGTTTGCGAGTTCCAAGATGCCGCGAGTCAGCCTTTGTGTCTACGTGCACAATACTCTGCAAAGCTCGGATATGCTCTTGCATACAGTGTGTCCATGTTTGGCATAAATGCTGACAGTGAATTTTTTAATGTGTGCTCATGCACATGTTCGTTGTGTGTGTTTTTGCATGTTAACGGGCATTGAAGGCTTCAATTTCGAGTTTGACCGGGGATGTGTGTATGTATATACTTTCAACTCTTCCCCATACTCTCACATCCATTTTCTTCAGTCTGTTTCAGCCTGTCTTGTTTCCACTCTCTCATTGCCTCTATGTCTGTATCGTCTCTGGCTTTCAAGCTCCGCTCAACTGGCTGATA